CATTTTTAAATATACATCTTCTAAATTTAAATTCATAAATTTAAATTAATTTATTACTTAAATTAATCGCAATGAGAATAGTGCATTAAAAAATTACATTCATTAAAAAATATTACATTCATAAAAAAGTACAATCATTAAAAAAATACATTCATTAAAAAAATATTACATAAAAAAAACAACACTACAAAGAAATCACTAATTATTCGAGCGATTAAAGATATGTTCGATCAAATCCGCCGTTAGTGCATTGTGAATCTCTCGGCTTCGAATTTCTTGGCGGTTTCTTCGCTTCTTTTCTTCGGTGATTTCTTCGTACATAGGCACCTCCTCGTCCGGGTTGTATTGACAAATCGCAGTCCCGTTATCCTCTATGATCATATTATGAAGAATAATACATGCGTACATGATATTCCTCATTTTTGTTTGAGAATAACATTTCGACGGACGATCTAGAATGTGTCATTTACTCTTCAAGACCCCAAAGGCTCGTTCAATATCTTTTCTCGCCGCCTCGTGAGCTTTTTTGTAGGTCTGGCGTTTAAGACCCATTGGTTCGGAGAGGGATTTGACAATCGTGGAATAATCTGGATATCTTCCATCGGCCAAATAATATCCACGCTTGTAAAGCGTCCCTCTAAGATCAAAAGAGGAGTCCGGTGCGGTCTCATTAACCCAATCGTCAAAAACAGGCGATTGATCGAGAACGTTAATGTCATTGTTCGAGCCCGCGACACCGAAAAAAGCATGCCAAATTCACAAGTCATTCGAAGCAACAGCTTCGAGCATGATGGTAGGCTTGGGATGATCTCCATGCAGTGGGACAATTTTTCCATTCCCAATGCGTGCAATCAATACTCCCAAGCATGCCGACAAAGCCGTGTTTAGCGGCATGCCTTGCCTGCAACTGCTGGATGTCGCTCGCTGTAGGCTTGCGTAAATATCTTTTATGATAAATTTGAATAATAGCTTTTGAAAATTTATAAACACAGGACCTGATGCTCCGAACCGACATCTTCAAGTATTCATTGAACATATCAGATGTCGTCCCGTACGCCAACTGACGGAGCGCGGCAGTGCACTTCTGGACGCTACTAAACCCGCATCGGCCTCTCGCATCAAACTGTTGGGTGAACCAAGGAACCTCGCGTTCAACATCGGCGAGTATGCATAAAAAGAGAGGACGACTCATCCGTAAACGATTACTAAAATCCTCCGGTGTATAAACACACGGATTATTAAAGTAGTCGTTTAGAAGTGAAGCGTGGGCGGCCGCTCGATCCCGGTTTAAACGTTGTCGTCGGCAGGATTCGTCGGCAGGATTCTGCTTCTTCTTGGCCATCTTCCCACCATTGAATACAATTCGTGGCGAAACAACGAAAAAAGAAAGCTCTTTTTTCATCGTCGGAAGATGAACCCATTTTTAAAATATATTTTATAACTATTTATAATAAACAATAAATATTGTAGAGAGAATATAAAGAGAGATGTGTGAGAGAAAGGGGGATTTTATAGGTTTTTTTAAATTTAGAATTTTTTTAAGAAATATTTGCACTAAATAGCATTAAAACTTAAGTCATTTCCCTAAATAGCACTTAAATTGTTTTACTCCCTAAATAGCACTTAATAATGTCCATAATGTCCTGTGATGACGAATATTTACTTGAATAATCACTAATGTATAATGACTAAAAGTGCTACATTGGGAAGAAAAACACATATAGTGCTATCTAGGGAAAGTCATTATGTTTTAGTGCTATTTAAGTAAAATTCTCTTTTTTTAATTGGGGGGGCGGTAACGGCTATATAGCCGTTTGAAAAGGGGGGGAACGGCTGAAAAAACGAAGCAACGCCGCGTCAAACGAATGACGCAGGTGCCTTCACGCCCCGTTAACGCCGGAGGGGGGCGGTGTTTGACGCCCCCGGGGCGTTAAACGCCCCTTAACGTCGGTGGGCGTGAAGAGTATACCCAGTGCCCTAAATAGTTTCACTATCGATCCCGATTCACTACCCGGTCAAATCGCACAAGTAACTGACTCAATTTTAGGCGGTAAGAATTCCTGCTGCTCTTGTAAATAGAAGGATTTTGAAGAGTTTAAGTTTGTACTCCTGTATTGAAGATAGAGGCTAAGTTTTAGTCCTATTTGAGGGGTTTTCTTTACTTTGAAAATAAATTTATTTATTTTTAATTACGGTACTATAAATAGCGTTTTAAAAAGAAATTCGGAACGCTGACCTCGAACCACCCCCTTACTCCTTACTAAGGCCTTGCCCCTATATGCCGCTGCGCTGAACCAAACCCCAATTTCAGTTTTGAGAGCCGCGATCCCAAACTGGAAGGGTTTCCACCCTAGCAATAATTGTAAGTTTGTAAGTTTTATAAATACTCCCTCCGTCCCTAAATAAACTTCCCTTTTTGACTTTTTGAGGATTTAAGGGAGAGATATTTTTGTGTTGACTTTCCAAAAATAACCTTTGATGTGATGTGTAAAAGTAAGATGTGATATGTACATTACTAGTAAAAAGGTATAATGTGATAGGTAGAGCATGAAAAAGTAAGGGGTAAATGTTGACTAATTATCGAGTAGGATTAGGATTACTCGAGATATTCTAGTTCAAGTAGGAATAGAATTATGGATCCTAGATTACTTGTTGGCCAAGTTGGGTTAACACTATATATATCATAGCCAAGCCTTGGGTTTTGATATGAGAGTCATATGAGAAACATATGAGAGTTTATTGTAATTGGTTTTGAGTAATTTTCCAGTTATGATAAAGAGATTGTTTCCAAGAATTGGTATTGGAGCACAAATAATAAAAAAAAATCAATTCAGTCGTTGTTTTCCTTTGCGAATGAGAGCTAATCGATTGAATCTGAAGGGACGTGCGCGAGTAGGGATCGGCGTCACCAGAGGGCAGGAGGAGGTAGATCGTCGTCGCCGTCCTTGTTTTCGCTTCAATCGCAGCCGGACAGAGAAAAAAATCAGCCGTTGTTTTTCTTTAAGTAGAGGGGCGTATTGCTTCTGTCGCGACCAGCCAGAATCGCAGCACTCAAGAAAGCAACCCAGTCCCGAGCAGCCATCGTCCAGCCGCCGCCGCTAGCCGCGTGCAGAGAAGCCGCTGCGTCAGAATCGCACGCAGGTCTGAGCCGCTGAGAGGGAGTCGCTCTGAAAGACCTACCGCCGCCGCCGCCGCGTTGAGGAGCCACCGCCGTACTAAGTTGACGCCGCTGGTTCGAGGAGATCGCCGCCGCAACTGGTCAGCCGTGAGCCCTCACCGTCGTCCAGGTCGCAAGCCGTCGCAGTCCATCCGTCCAAGTACAGTTGGTTGCCGATCCAAAGGATTAAAAAAAAGGAATTTAGGCAGAAGGTTTTTAATCGACCAAGAAAAGCCACTGCTGCGTTTTGATTAAACAAGTGAGGTTTAATCCAGCCCCTGTTGTGGTAGTCGATTAAACAAGTAGGTTTAATCAAATTACAAGTATTGGATCCTGTTACACCACTCTTGACGTACAATCGACGTAAGAAAAATATGACAGAATCTGAGACACCACAACCGAAGGTTAAGGGAGTTGGGCTTACAGCTGTCCAATGTCCCATGCTAAACGCTACGAACTACACCGTATGGGCCATGAGAATGAAAGACGTCTTAAGGGTTCATAAGGTGTGGGAAACGATTGAACCAGGCGCAGCTGATGCCGAGAAGAATGATATGGCTACGGCACTGTTGTTTCAATCAATTCCAGAAAATCTGATATTGCAAGTAGGCAATGAGGAGACTGCGAAGGATCTGTGGAATGCAATCAAAACTCGTCACTTGGGGGCTGAGAGGGTTAGAGAAGCTCGTCTCCAAACCCTAAATGCGGAATTTGATAATTTGAAGATGCATTATTCAGAGTCAATTGATGAATTTGCTGAGAAGTTATCAAGTTTGGCCTCAAAATCCGTAGCCCTTGGAGAAGAGATCGAAGAGAAAAAGATGGTAAAGAAGTTTCTAAAGTCTCTTCCTCGTTCGAAATACATTCATATAGTCGCCTCGTTGGAACAAGTTCTAGATTTGAATAAACTAGGATTTCAAGAAACGATAGGCCGGTTAAAAGCCTACGAAGAACGAATCAAGGAAGAGGATATAGAAACACAGAGTAAACTATTATTCTCCAATGGTGAAAGCTCTCATTCTCAAAGGGGAGAAAACGGATCGAGAGGACAAAGCCGATGCAACCAAGGTCGAGGAAGAGACCAAGACCAGGATGATGATGACCAAGATGGAAGTCAATACCGAGATGGTCACGATCATGGGTCAAAACGAACAGGTGAAAGAAGAACCAATGATCGTCAGAAAGGAAGAAAGGATAGATCAAAGGTTCAGTGTTTTCGATGTGATAAATTCGGTCACTTTGCATCAGTGTGCCCGGAGCGTACGAAGAAACAAGAGGAAGCTAATTTAGCTGAAATTGATGTTCTGGATCCATCTTTGTTCATGATGAGATGTGATCAAGAGAATGTCTTTCTAAATGAAGAAGGGGTGATTCCAAAGCGTTNGGATCTGTATTACTTGAAGGGAAAACAGGGGAGCAGTGCCTGTTGACCGATGTGTACTACATACCCAGCCTACAAAGCAACATCATAAGCCTTGGTCAAACAACGGAAGGTGGATGCAACATTCACATGAAGTGCGACTTGCTAACCATTCATGATGACACGGGGAAGCTTATGATGAAGGTGACGAGGACCAAGAATCGTTTGTACAAGATCAATCTCAAGATAGCAAGTCCCAGTACACAAGTTAGCATGATTGGAATGAAGAGTTTTGTGGGTGGGGATCTACAAAGAGTTGATCAACTGAAAGAAGGTACGCGAAGTACGAGTCAGAATCTTCTTGGAGATCCATGTTTAATGGAGAAACCCAAAATTCAAAGTCCAAAGAAGAATGTTCAAGAGTTTAAAGGAGATGTCAAGAAAAGGATTCTAACCCAAGGAAGGACGTGTAATGATCGCAAGGAGCAAGTGTTTGTTCAAGCTAAGTGGAGCCCGAAGAACACTGCAAGGGATCATGAAGAGCCTCGGGAGAATCAAGATAAAGAAGACATGCTTGGAGTTGAAGATCACCCGCAATCCAACTCGAAAATTAGGGGGGTGATTGTTGACTAATTATCGAGTAGGATTAGGATTACCCGAGATATTCTAGTTCAAGTAGGAATAGAATTATGGATCCTAGATTACTTGTTGGCCAAGTTGGGTTAACACTATATATATCATAGCCAAGCCTTGGGTTTTGATATGAGAGTCATATGAGAAACATATGAGAGTTTATTGTAATTGGTTTTGAGTAATTTTCCAGTTATGATAAAGAGATTGTTTCCAACAGTAAAAAGGGTATTTTAAAGGAAAAGAGAAGTTTATTTGGGGACAAAGAAAAAACGAAAGGGGAAGTTTATTTAGGGACGGAGGGAGTAGAATCCAAAGATGCACGTTCCTGATCGCCTATATTTCCACCTTCTCACATAGTACGTACCCTCGAAAAAACAGATCGAGTGAATATGAAGAAACACCAAGCCCCATTGTTCCCAAACCTCCATATTGCATTATTATTGTTCTTTCTCCTCACACTTTTTGGATTTGGGCACGGCTCAAATCATAAAAATGATGGTCAAGTTGGGAGGTTAATGTCCTTGCGCCATGCAAAAATGTACCCTCACGGCGGCCGCCGTGTTCCGCCACGGACCGAAGAAGAAAGGTACAACGAGGAAGATAAAATAATGGTGTCACTGCCGGAAGTCAACGAGGGAAGCGTGACGGCGGATGACGATCTGATCGCCGGTGGCCTCCCCGGACAGCCGCCGTCGAGTGCCAAGTTCAACCAGTATGCAGGCTACGTGAATGTAGACAAAAGGAATGGCAGAAGCCTCTTCTATTACTTTGCGGAATCTGCGGACACTCCTTCCAAAAAACCTCTCGTTCTGTGGCTTAATGGAGGTGATCACATACTGTGGATTTTAATTAATTCCCCATATGTAGCTTCTTGATATAAAATATTCTCTAAACCTCAAATTGATTGATTGATTAATAAAGGGTAGGGTATAGAACATTTTCTCAACTAATTAATAACAAGATTAAGCTTTTACTTGAATTGATCGATTTCTTAATTACCAGAATTAACCTTTATGAATAAACCTCAAATTACCATGATATCACAATAACCTACTCGGGTATATTCTTTGCCCCTAAATTTTTCTTCTTTAATTTCCTTTTTTTGTCCCAAAATTCTTCTCTTTATCGGTTAAAAAACAACTCCACTTAAAAACAACTTTTATTCTACTATTTCTTACTTTACTTATCACATCATACTTAATCACTAATAATTTACCAATCACATTCTAGTTTTACTAATCACATCAACTTGATTTAGGGACGGGGGAGTAATAGTACTTGTAGATCATAAAGTAATACTCCTTCCGTTCTAATTAAAGCTTCCTAGTTTGACTTGGAGCCAAAATAAGGAAGTGTTAAATTATAGTCGACTTCAATTTTGCCCCTGATGTGATGGGTAAAAGTAAGATGTGATGGATAGATTCTTAGAGAAAAGGTATGATGTGATAGGTAGGGTATGAAAAAGTATGGGTAAAAGTGGTTTTTTAATAGAAAGTGGAAGTATTTTGTTGGCAGTGAAAGAAATGAAAGAGAAAGTGTTTTTGAGAAGGGAGAGAGTAGTACTGATCATCAAGGTTAATTTAGAAAGTCAATACAAAAATATTTTTTTTTTAAATCACATAAAAGTCATAATAAGGAGATTTAGGGACGGGGGAGTAATAGTACGTACTTATACTCCCTCCGTCCCAAAATGGACGCCACCGTTATCATTACGACTTCTCGACATTTTTTGTTTGTTTGTATATTTTATAGATCATTTGATAAAAGAAAATATTTTTGTCAGCTCTTGTTTTATACTCCCTCCGTCGTCCCATGAAACCTTTCTCCTTTCTTTTTTTATCCGTCCCACAAAACACTTCTCATTTCTATTAAAAAGTCACTTTTACCCTTACTTTTTCATACCCTAACTATCACATCATACTTTTTTACTAATAATCTATCCATCAAATCATACTTTTACCCATCACATCAAAGGACATTTTTGGAAATTCAATACCAAAATACACCCCCCTTAACTCCCTCCTAAAAAGCAAAAGTCCCATGTTTCATGGGACGGAGGGAGTAGATTTTTTATGTACTTTTCAACAATGTAATTTAAACTTTTTAATTCTTGTTTGTAGAACTTTTAATTTACTTTAACAAATGTCCCTGAATAGTAGAAAAAATTGAAAATACTAAAATATGAGTCCTTTAATTTGTCTTTCAAGACCAAAATTGAAGTATAATGGCAATGTAGTGTAAGATTACGCATTGACAGTATGATGGAAAAATGATGACAGTGTAATATGTCAGTGTGATCAGTCAACCGTCAGCGATTTCCAGCGGCACTCCGGTGGCCGGCGGTGACAGATAACAGTGTGGCATTGATAGTGTGACAGTTACATTGTAACAACGTGGTGAGTGTGGTAGTGTAACAATGACAGTGTGAACTCATATTTTGGTCTTAAAAGACTTAAACTCATATTTTTGTACTTTCATAATTTTTTACTTATATTTAGGGAGTTCTTCCATGTACTCTTGAACGACATAGTTTATAGTTTTTATTTCTATACCGATTTGAAATTAAAGTAATTTAAAAAAGTGATAACATTTTGGAGGTTATTGGAAAAGTTGTACTCCGTATTTTGGTACTCCTTCCGTCTTATAATGTTCTTCCCGGTTCTGTTTACGAAGTTTGACCGACTTTATTTTTAATTCAATTTATTTGATTGTAGGTGTAAAATTAAAAAATAAAATTTATATATTTAAAATTAAATCAAAAGTTCTACAAAACAAGTGGTGACAAGACTATATTATTTTATCAAATACCTAATGAAAATAAGTAAAGAAAGTGATTAAAGTTTGACCGTGTGAATAGTAAGTGGGAAAAACATTTCAGGACGGAGGGAGTATTTTATTGTGGGAGGGTGGGAATATATTCAAACTGAGAATTGTTGCTAGTAAATGTTATGTTTGACTTTAAGTCTTTAACGAATGAATCAAGCAGGTCCGGGTTGCTCATCACTTGGACTGGGTGCCTTTGTAGAGGTTGGACCTTTTGGCGTTAACCCAGATGGCAAAACATTATACTCAAGAAGATTTGCATGGAATAGAGGTTAATTTTATTACTTTATTAATTTAGTGCACATTCATTGAATTGGGCTATATAATTGGCATCAGCTCATGAATTTATATGGCACTGTGCAAAATAGATCTCACATGCATAACACTTTAATTTCTACTCTAATAATAATAAATAATAATAACACTAATACTGATAATAATACTCCCGTCCCGTATCTTCTTCCCGTTGCGCAAAACGAATAACTAATTTTTTAGAAATTATCATAAATAGGACTAAAACATAAAAAAGTACCAAAATAGGACTTTCATATATTTTTTTTCGAAATAGGACTTCGCACTGTGATAATGTGGTTGTAATGTGGCACAGTACATGTACACATTATTATACTTTTTGGTAATGTACATGACCATGTTTGGTAATGTAAATGCATTTTAAGTCCTATTTCGCGAATAAAAACATGGAAGTTCTATTTTAGTATATTTTCAAGGTTTTAGTCCTACTTTGGTCTTTCTTCCAAGTTTTTTAAATCTATTTTAATTAAATATTGTTATAGAAATAAAAAATAAAATTTGCATATTTAAAAAATATATCAAAAGTTCAATAAAATAAATGATGACAAAAATATTTTATTTTATCATATAAGCCATGAAAAATGCAAATTATTCAAAATTCCTGTGAAGTTAGAATAGTGCTCTGGGAAGAAAGATATGGGACGGAGGGAGTAATAATAATAATAATAATAATAATAATAATAATAATAATAATAATAATAATAATAATAATAATAATAATAATAATAATAATAATTGCGTGTGACGATGTTGCAGTTGCAAATATGTTATTTCTGGAGTCGCCCGCCTCAGTTGGTTTCTCATATTCCAATACTACATCCGATTATGCTAAATCGGGAGACAATAGGACCGGTATATTTATATATGCATAATTCCAATGCATGCAATAATTCTATCTATTCCGTATATATAAATAATTGCATGTAATTAACCTAACCGTGCATTTTTCTATATATTTTATCGAATAATCCTTTAATTTTGTGTGTGACGACAGCTCAAGATTCACTCAACTTCTTACTAAGTTGGTTTGAGAGATACCCACATTACAAGTCTAGTGATTTTTACATTGCCGGCGAAAGCTATGCAGGGTTCTACATCCCAGAGCTTGCTGATTTGATCATAAACACCAATAAAATGTCTCACTCAACCTTTAAGATCCCTCTCAAGGGAATTATGGTAAATAAAAGCTAATTAAGAAGACTTAATTATGAGAGTGCGTACATTAACTGAATTATATGTGCTTCAATTCATGTATATAATAACAAATAGATTGGGAATGGGATAATGAATGAGGCCACGGACGAAAGGGGATTGTACGACTATCTTTGGAGTCACGCCTTGATTTCGGACGAAACGCACCGAGGGGTGTCCGAAGACTGCTTTTCGACGACCAAAAGGGGGATGAAATGTTATGAATTTCAATATTCGGCGGTCAACGAGACGGGAAGCATAGATTTTTATAACATATATGCCCCGTTGTGCTCCAACAATTCGCGGCACACACAGAAAAATAATGTCGCGGCCGGGGGGTTTGACCCTTGTGAGAGTGACTATGTGCATGCCTACCTTAATCTCCCCGTCGTCCAGAAGGCCATGCATGCCAACACCACCAAGCTTAATTACACTTGGGAACTCTGCAGGTCCATTATATTAATCCACTACGTACTTATTAATTATATTGCATGTGTCTTCGATCTTCACATAATTAATTAACTTGCACTCCCTCCGTTCTCAAAAACTCTTCCTCTTTCATTTTTTTTACTTCCAACAAAACACTTTCACTTTCTATTAAAAAACCACTTTTACCCTTACTTTTTCATACCCTACGTATCACATCATACTTTTTCTCTAATACTCAATCCATCACATCTTACCTTTACCCATCACAACTACAATTTAACACTTCCTTATTTTTACACAAATTAAAGTCAAAATAGGAACATTTTTATAGAACGGAGGGAGTATTGTTACGTTTAAGACTTAATTAATTAGTCTAAAATTAAATCTTACTCCGATCCATATATATGTTTGGTTTGTGTTCTTTCTTGAAGTAATGAGATCACGAGTTGGACAGATTCACCATTAACCATGTTTCCAATCTATAAGAGGTTATTCAAAACCGGCCTCCGAATACTTCTTTATAGGTACATTTTAATTCTTCTCAGTTTATTACTCCATAAATTAAATACTGAGTTATTATAAATGATGAACCCTTACTATAAATGCAGTGGCGACATAGACGCGGTGGTGCCGGTGACCGGAACCCGGTATTCCATAAATGCAATGAACTTGACTGTGGTCAATCCATGGCATCCATGGCAAGATGGCACACAAGAAGTAAGAATCAAATTAATCAATTAAACTCTTTTTTTTAAAAAAAAAGAAATGTTTTTTAAAATTTACAATTGCAAGTTGAATTATATATTGTGTGAGTGCAGGTTGGTGGGTATAAAGTGGGGTACGAGGGTTTAACGTTCGCGACGGTAAGAGGGGCAGGTCATCAAGTTCCACAGTATAAACCACGAAGTGCTTTGGCCTTGCTTCGGATGTTCCTTTCCAACAAACAGTAGCCACCATTATCAGAATGATGAACACGATTAATTAGTGGAATCCACCTTTTCCTTTGGCCGGTTGCTTTATTGATCATAAAACCATATCATTCTATTCATGCATCATTTTATATGTGCAAAAAGCAGTGTACCCCACCACTATTTCCTATTTTAGCATTGTTGTAGACTTGTTGTGTCCTTAATAATAATAATAATTTTTATTTATTTGTATATTTTCATTGATTATTCAATAAAAAAATATTTTTGCCACCGTTTGTGTTAAAGGAAAAAGAATATATTCGGAGATATTTGTGTATATATTGTTTTGGTAGTTTTCCTTGTATAGGGATTCTTTCCTTTTCCTTTTCCTAGAAATTTTCTGCGACTACTGTTCACGATCGCCCGACATGGCGTCCATCGATCGTTGCTCAGTTTCAGTCAGTTGTTGCTGTTGCCGGATAACGGAATGGTCGACCGTTGCTCTAGAACGGTCGAGCACGTCGACCGTCCCGTCGGCAGATTGTTTGGATGATGCTGCTGTTGATTCTTCCGCCACCGCCGTACGCCACTTTGCTACCGCCATGGCCGATGAACAACCAAGGAAGATGTTTTTGCCTGAAGAAGAGGATAATCATGAGAGGGGAACCTCTCTGTTTCCAAATTTTGATAATTTGACTCCAGAACAGTGGAATGCTGTTCGGCATGTTTTCTCCCTATCACTGTCTGTTTCTAGTATGAAGCTTTCAGGTATTCCTATATCACCGTGTTGGATTATAGATACTGGGGCATCAAATCATATGACTGGTGATATTTCTTTATTGCATGATGTCGTGGGAATATCACCGTGTGAGATTGGTTTGCCCAATGCGAAAAGAATGGTTTCTGTACAATCTGGGAAGATTAAATTAACAGAAACATTAATTCTGCAGGATGTCCTATATGTTCCCACTTTGAGTTATCATTTAATCTCTGTGTCACAATTAACAAGGGATTTGCATTGTGAGGCATGCTTTGCCAAAAATAAGTCTATACTACAGGACCTGTGTTTGAAGACAGAAATTGGTATGGGTGAGCTGGAAGGAGGACTTTATTACTTCAAGGAGCCTGAAAAGAAGATGGTGTGCAGTGCGAAGAAGGAGAGTAAGTTCGATCTTTGGCACAAACGACTTGGACACCCTTCCTCTCATGTTTTGTCTCTTGTTCTTGGAGTTGGAACAAGTAAGAGTAGTCACAGTTGTTGTGACATTTGTTTGCGTGCTAAACAGACTCATGGGAGCTTTCATATAATAAGTTTTTATCAATCTGTTGATAAATTTGATATGATACACTGTGATTTATGGGGACCATATAGGACTCCAAGTTTTGATGGTTCTACAATGTTCTTGACCATTGTGGATGATTTTTGAAGAGGTGTTTGGGTACATTTGCTTGATTCCTAACTTAAGGTTGGGACTGTTTTTAAACAATTCTGTGCTATGGTAGAACGACAATTTGGGAAGAAAATAAAGTGTGTTCGCAGTGATAATGGCACAAAATTTGAATGTCTAAACGAATATTTCTGGGAGCAAGGAATTATTCATGAGACGTCTTGTGTGTCTACTCCACAACAGATTGGAAGAGTAGAACGCAAGCACCGACACATTTTGAATGTGGGTCGGGCTTTGAGGTTTCAGGCTGGCGTTCCGATTGAGTTCTGGGGAGAGTGTATACAGACCGCTGCACATCTGATCAATCGCACACCTTCGTCATTGCTAGAGGGGGTCACACCATACGAGAAGATCTATGAAAAGCCACCCCCTTTGGCTCATATTCGTGTTTTTTGATGCAGATGTTTTGCTCAAAACTTGAAGAGGAATGGTGATAAATTTGCACTAAGAAGCAATCCTGGAATATTTGTTGGATATCCACAAGGGAAGAAGGGATGGCGTATTTACTACCCGGACACTGGAGAAATCAAGGTGTCCCGGGATGTTGTGTTTTGTGAAGATATTTTCCCTTTCTTGACTCCTACAGGTGCATCTCTTGAAACAGGAAGTACAAATGAGGTTAGCTCTTATGATGAAGATGAAGAACTGCGGATGGAAGAACAGATGGACCGTTCCAGAAGGGACGGTCGACCGGAGGAAAGCGGCAGAGCAGACCAGCTACAGACGGTCGACCTGATGGACCGTTCCGATGTCCACAGTCGACCGTCCGAGAGGCAGAATGACGGATTCTTTAGAGATGACCGAACGGTCGACCTGGTGGACTGTCCTGATATCCACGGTCGACCGTCGGAGAGGTAGAATGGCAGTTTTTTGGGAGATGATCAAACGGTCGACCGTGATGAGGAAGACGGTCGACCGTGATGAGGAAGACGGTCGACCGTGATGAGGAAGACGGTCGACCGTCTCCAAGGCAGAAAGTTAGCGATCCGGAACAGCCTCAGACGGTTGACCCCGTGGACCGTTCCACGGACGGCGGTCAACCGTCCTCTTCCCAGCTGGTGGTGGAGAACTTGGGACGTGGTCAGCGTGAGATACGTCCAAATGTACGCCTTGCTGATTATGTTACCCATGTAGCGGGTTCATATGTTGGTGAAAAATGCAAATATTCTCTTGCCTCGTATGTCACACACGAGAAATTCTCTGATAGACACAAGTGTTTTCTCAGTGCACTTGATGCTGGAGTGGAGCCCACGAGTTTCAAGAAGGCATTCCAGGATGAACGATGGAGGAAGGCTATGAGAGAGGAGATTGATGCACTGGAGGCTAATGGGACGTGGTCTCTTGTCTCTCCTCCACGCCATAAAAAGCTCATTGGTTGCAAATGGGTGTATAAAATCAAGCGTAAGTCCGATGGAAGTGTGGAGAGATATAAGGCCAGACTTGTTATACTTGGTAATCATCAGGTTGAAGGACTTGACTACAAAGAAACATTTGCTCATGTAGTCAAGTTGACCACTGTGAGAACACTTTTAGCAGTTGCAGCAGTTAAGGGGTGGGAATTGCATGAGATAGATGTTCACAATGCATTTCTACACGGAGATCTTCAGGATGAGGTGTATGTGAGATTGCCACCTGGTTTCTCGAATTCGTCTAATGTGTTGTGCAAACTCAAGAAGTCTCTCTATGGCTTAAAGCAAGCTCCAAGGTGTTGGTTTGCTAAGTTGTCTCGAGCCTTGAAACGCTATGGGTTTGTCCAATCTGTTGCTGATTACTCCTTATTTTCTTTTGTTGAAAAGAAAGGAGTAATACATGTTTTGGTTTATGTTGACGATTTGATTATTGCTGGAGATAATACAGAGATGGTGAGCAAGTTCAAAGCCTATCTCGGAGATTGTTTTCATATGAAGGACTTGGGAACACTGAAATACTTTCTTGGCATTGAGGTGGCGAGAATTAAGCACGTCTGGGATTTTTCTCTGCCAACGAAAGTACGCCTTAGATATCATCGCTGAGGCGGGGTTGTTAGGTGTCAGGCCGTTGGGTGTCCCGATGGAGCCAAATCATCACTTGGCTTGTTCCCAAGCCGCGGTTCTTGCAGATCCAGAACCATATCGATGGTTGGTAGGAAGGTTGGTCTATCTCTCCGTTACACGACCGGAACTTTCTTACGCCGTCCACACTTTGGCACAGTTTTTGAAGGAACCAAGGGAGGATCAGTGGTCTGCGGCCCATGAGTTGTTCGTTATTTGAAAGGATGTCTGGGACAGGGCATTTTTCTATCAGCAGAGAGTAGTCTTCAACTCACAAGATGGTGTGATTCGGACTGGGAAGCATGTCCTTTGATGAGGCGGCCATTGACAGGGTGGTTTGTGCAGCTTAGAGACTCGCCTGTCTCATGGAAAACAAAGAAGCAGTCGACGGTGGCTCGCTCATCTGCTGAAGTAGAGTATAGAGCTTTGGCTGTCCTTACATGTGAGTTGAAGTGGTTGAAGAATGTATTGCGGTGTTTAGGGGTTGAGCATAAGAACCCCATGACGGTCTGGTGTGACAGCACGGTGGCACTTCACATTGCTGCTAATCCGGTTTTCCACGAACGCACGAAGCACATTGAGATTGATTGTCACTTCGTTCGTGATGAGCTCTTTCAAGAGGAGATTCGTACACTTCATGTGCCAACTACGCATCAGCTTGCAGACATTCATACAAAGGCACTCGGAAAGTCACGTTTGGAGTTTCTTCTTCCCAAGTTAGGCATTTCGTTACTACATGCTCCAACTTGAGGGGGGTGTTAAAGGAAAAAGAATATATTCGGAGAATATTTGGAGATATTTGTGTATATATTGTTTTGGTAGTTTTCCTTTTCCTTTTCATTTACTAATTAGGAGTGTCAACTTATGAGATCATATATATATGGCTTCATTGTAAATTGTAAAGACAAGAGAGAAATACAGAGAATTTCCTCCCAAATAATTCTTTCAGTTTGTTTTATACTCCCTCCATCCCATAAAACTTTTCTTGTTTGAAAAAGAGGCACGTCTTTAAAATGAGTAACTCGGTGTTATTTTTTTTATTTTGATGCATCTATCCTACACATCTCAACCTACTCTATTATAAAGTGTTGGAATGCATGTGTTCAACCCTTTCTGTGTTGTTAAGTGTTGACTCACAGGTTTTGATAATTGACATACACAATTTATTCAAGTCAAGATCAAAGTGCTAAAACGACAAACACGAAGACTTGAAGTGTCATTCCTTGAAGTATTCAAGAAGGTGCACAGGATTTTATTGGAGTCCGAGACGCGTTCGGAGCGCCTAACGCAGGACTCGGAGGAGAAGAAGATTTCCGAAGACTTTTTATTTATTTGAGCCTTAGGAATTATTGTAAGGATGACAAATATATCTTCTCTCCAAAATTATTTTTATGAGAGTTAATATAAAAATAATATATTTTTGGAGTCAGTTGAAAAATCATTTTTAACAGTTCAAATTACATTTATTGAGTCAGTTACAAAAGGTGTGTCAAACATTTATCAAAATACTTATTTTGATATTAGAAAATATTTTTGGAAAGCAAAAATATTTTATTCAAATATTTTCATGTTCATTGTTTGACATACAAAACATTTTTGGGACTCATTTTCTACACCAAAAATACACTCTCATAATTCAAATTTGAATTTGAATTATATTTGTTGATTGGGGAGCCATTGACATGATTTTTATGTCCTAAACAAGTGCTTAAATCCAAATTAGCACATCACCCCGCACACATGATTGTGTCCTTCATGTTTGGGCACAATTGCTTCAAAAATCGATTTTTACACTTTGGGAAAAATTGATTTTCATTTCGTCTGCTGAAGAAATTTTTCTCAGAAGAAAAAAATCGATTTTTTGGTTACAAAAATCGATTTTTTTGTTAAAAATTCAGCAACACCTTTTTTCTCAGCTCCAACGGACATATTCCTTCAACCCCTTTATAAACTCATTTCCTTGGTCATTTTTTTCTATGAACAAGCACCCCAAAACTCCCCAATCTTGAGGTTATAATCCTCCATTCATTTCTTCCTCAAATTGATATATTTTGAGAGAAAACTAAGTGTTTTCAAGAGAGTGTTCTTGTCATCCATAGAGCTTAATCTTTTCTCATTTCTACTCTTATGAGAGTTATTGTTGTGAGGTTGAAGAAGATTGTTCTTCTTATTGTATAAGACTTATGTGACTTAAGTCTTGATTGTGAAGTCTTGTAGAGGGCATATCTACGAGCGGTTATGTCGAGGCTAGTGGGATTCAAGTTCTCGAGTTGTAAACGGTTTGTTAAGCACCCGTAAGCTTAACGGAAGTAGTGGTAGCTTCGAGAGAGTCTCTCGGGGAACTGGACTAGCCACGAGGTGGTGAACCAGTATACATCGGTGTGTTATTTGCCTTCTCTCTTTTATTTCCGCTGCACTTACGTTTATATTATTAATCCTGCAAAAATCGGTAATCATTCTCAACAACTCTATTCACTCCCCTCTAGAGTTGCACGCATTGTCTAACAATTGGTATCGGAGCAGGTATCTCTAACGCTCCTTTGACGTTTGAGAAAACGATCAAATTTTTTTGAGAATGTTGAACGCAAGGATTAGAGAAGGGCAGTCCACCGTAAGGACACCATTTTTTGATGGAACAAATTACTCCTCTTGGAAGGAGCGGATGAGGATCTTTGTCCAATCAAATGACTTCAAAATTTGGCATGTTATCAAGAATGGAGATAGCTTGCCGATTAAGAAGATAGGCGATACACTCATCCCAAAGGACGAGGATGAATATGATGATGCCGACTTAAAGAAGGCTCAATTGAATGCCACTACCATCAATTTCTTATATTGTGCTGTCAACGCCAACGATTATCAAAAGATTTCTCGGTGCCAAACCGCCAATCAAATGTGAAACAAACTTATGATCACATACAAAGGTACGCCTCAAGTTCGTGAATCAAAAAATGATTTACTAACCCATGAATATGAGTTGTTTGCTATGAAAGAGAACGAACTTGTGGAGGACATGTTTGAAAGATTTTCAAACATCGTTAACCACCTCGATATGCTTGGAAAGACTTTCAGCGACAAGAAGTTAGTAAGGAAAATCCTGCAAAGTCTTACCAAGGAATGGGAGTCGAAGGTTAACTCCATCTACGAAGGCCGAAATTACAACGTCATCACTTATGACGGTCTTCGAGGTAACCTTATCACTTACGAAACAAATCATCTTTCTCATACTCTTGACATTAAGAAGAGAACGGGAATTGCTTTTAAAGCATCTTCTTCTCAAAAAGTAGAGAATGGTGATTCGGATTCGGATAGTGATAGTGATAGTGATTCTAGCACTTCCTGTGATATTTTGGTTGAATGTTTTAACGAGTTTTTGAAACATGAGCTAAACAAGAGCAAGAAGAAAAACACCCCAAAATGTCACAAGTGCGGAAAGCTTGGCCACCGAAAATTTGAGTGCCCGAAGCTCAAGAAGATGAGCAAACAAGATGAATTCGCGTATTTTTCGTGGAAGTACGATCAACCTTCCAAAGACGATTGCCTCATCGCTCTTGAAGAACAAGATGGGTGGTCGGGTACGTGACGCACTTGAAAAGATGTGCTTGAAGACTACAAATTTGTAGTAGATGCTCCAAGCACTTAGCCAAAGAGATTGCATCAAAGGGGAGTGATTACATTTCTTTTTAATGAAATGTTATCTATAAGATTTATTTGTTATAATTGTTATTTGGGGAATATATATAGGTTGTTTTGCATATAGTAAGGGGGAAGTTCTTTTTGCTATATGTGTTAATCTTTTTTGTATGCTTTTTTAGGGGAGATAGCATACATTTAGGGGGAAGTATTTTTTATTTCCTAGAAATGCATGATTTTAGGGGGAATGTGATTTTTTCTTGAATGTTTAGATTTTTTTTCCGGAATGCATGAGTTCTTTTGTTGCATTATTTTTGATAATGCCAAAAGGGGGAAGAGTATAGGAGTATATGCT